GTGGGGTCATCACTCCTTCACTGATGGGGTTGGGATGCCTCAAGGATGTTTGATAGGGGTGAGGGAGAAACAAAAAGGGGTAAGCATCTCTATTGAGATCATTGAGTGAGAGTCCTTTGAACAGATCTGAGTTCACCGTCCAGAGGTTGCAAAGATAAGTAATATCTGAAATTAATTCCTCCAGGGTTCTGAATTTATTGTCAAAGAGGCGATTGTTTCTTTCATCCCAAACACCTCACAACACTGCATGTAGCATTGATTGCCAATAAACTTTACCCCTTTTACTTAACCCTGTTCCTTGCCATTGATGCAAAGTGTCCATAATGTGCATTGGTATAACCCAGCTGTAACATGCCATTTTCAAGAAATGGAACCAAATCTTTTGGGTGAATTTGCAGTGAAGAAAAATGTGATCTGCTGATTCACCTTCACTGAAGCATAGAATGCAAACACGAGGAGAGATGGACAGTCTTCCCAAAAACTTTTTCTGCAAGAGATCACAAGTATTTAATTTCTGGAGACAAGCTTCCCAGACAAAGAAACAAACTCTTGAAGGGATGTGGCTACACCAGATCTTCTTATAAGGAAAAGAGGGATGTTGTTCATCAGCAATCAAATCCCTGAACATAGACTTAGAAGAGAATTCGCCAGTAGGGTGTAGGGTCCAGATTCGGGTGTCAGAATAGGAGGGGGAGATGCAAGCTTCTTTAAGGGTCTGAATTAAGTCTATTAATTCAGAAATCTCCAAATCCCCTAGGGGTCTTCTGAGTTGAAGGTTTACGGTGTTCTCAGCAGTTTGGTCTGGAAGGCAGGAAGAAATAGTGGCTTCTTGGTCAAGGGTAAGATTAAAAAGTCTAGGGAAAGAGGCTGCAAGGGTAGTTTCCCCCCCACCAAAGGTCTTTCCAGAATTTTATTTTAAAGCCATTTCCCACTTTATATCTTATAAAAGGAAAGAAAGAAGTATGGATGGAGATGATACCTTTCCAAGGATTTGTGGATTTTATCCTGTTCAAATGGAGATTGCTATCCCACCCATTTGCATTTGATCCGTATTTGCTTGAGATGACAGCTGTCCAAAGAGCATTGGGTTCTTTAGGGAACCTCCATAGCCATTTGCCTAAAAGAGAAGATTTTCTCTTTTAAGTGCCCAATTCCCAAACCACCTTCCTCTTTAGGCTTGCATACTTGTTTCCAACTGACTAGGTGGCTTCTTCCCAAAGAAAGTTCCTTTGAATCTTCTCAATCTGATTTCTGACTTTGGTTGGAATCTGGAAGACTGAAAGGAAGTAGAATGGCAAATTTTCTAAGGAGGCCTTCAAGAGAGTAAGCCTTCCCCCTTTTGAGAGATAACACTTTTTCCAAGTTGATAGTTTCTTCTCACATTTCTCCACCACTGGTCTCCAGAAGTTGAGAGATTTTGGATTCCCTCCAAGAGGCATCCCAAGATAGGAAATAGGAAGATTCTCCTCTTTGCACCCCAACAAAGATTTGAAGTTTTCTAGAAGTTCCACTTCCATTGAGTTAAGAGCTACTATACTACTTTTGCAAAAGTTAACCTCAAACCAGTGATAAGTTCGAAACATTCAATTATCCTTTTAGTGTTTGTGATGTTGGTTATGGAGGCATCCAAGAACAAAATTATGTCATTAGCAAATTGTAAATGTGAAATGTGAATCTTGTCCCTTTCCACTTCAAATCCTTTCACCAAGTTAACGAGAATAGACTTATCAAATAGATAGTTAAAGATGTCCATCACCAAAGTGAATAGAAAGGGGGAAAGAGGACAACCTTGTTTGAGACCCCTACTAGCCTTGAAGTAACCTTCCGCATCACTATTTATTAATACTGAGAACCAAGGAGAGCCAATACAACCTTTAATCTACCTGATCCATTTTCTACCAAAGCCTCTCAACTTTAAGCAATCTAAAATACAATCCCAATCCACTTTATTGTACGCCTTTTCCAGATCTAGTTTCACAAGGACCCCCAGGTTCCCAGAAGATTTTCTTTCTTCCACACACTCATTTGCAATTAGAATGCTATCCACAATTTGTCTCCCTTTTACAAAAGCAAATTGGTTTGGGGAAATTAGATCTTCTAGGACTTCTTTAAGTCTATTGGCCAAAACCTTCGCCAAAATTTTATAGATGCTCCCTATCAAACTTATTGGTCTAAAATCTTTAACTTCCAAGACTCCCCCTTTCTTTGGGATGAGGCAAAGAAAGGTTGAATTTAGGCCTTTGTTAACAATGGCAAAAGAGTGGAAATCCCTGAAAAAATCCATGAGATATGACTTTACTATTTCCCAACACTGCTGGAAGAAAAAAATTGGGAAACCATCCAGCCCTGGAGCCCTATCTCCATCCATGCTAAAGACAGCCATTTTAATTTCTTCCTCTTCAAAGCTTCTTTCCAACCAAACCCTCTTTTCAGCTGATAAAGTTGTGCCTTCCCATCTGTTCAATGTAAACTGGTTATTACTATCCTTGGAGTAGAGGTTTTTGAAGAAGGAAAGGAAGACTTCCATAATTTCCTCAGGATTCTCCACTTCCCTCTGGTTCAGTTTCAGCTTAGAGATGAAATTCTTCCTACTTCTTCCTGAAGCATAAGTGTGAAAGAATCTGGAGTTATTATCTCCTTCTTTCAGCCATCTCACTCTTGATCTTTGTCTCCAGTAAATTTCTTCTCTTCTGACCAGCTGTTCCCATTCCTTTCTCAAATCTACTCTTCTACTTCTGTTTAAAGCATCAAGGGTCCCATTTTGTTCTCTACTATCCAACTCCTCTAATTCCATGAGGATTCTTTTCTTATCTTCTTCAACAGCTTTAAATTCCTCTCTCCCCCAAGCTTTAAGGTTTTTCTTCAGAGCTTTTAATTTCTGTAATAGCCTGAAACCAGCCCACCCCTCTACTTTGCAATCTTTCCACCATGCTGCAACCTTTTTGCTGAAATCTTTGTGATATAACCAGAATTTATCCAGTCTGAAAGGGGTTTTTCTTTTGATAATTCTTTCAGTGTTTAGCAAGATAGGCCAGTGATCTAAAGTACATCTTGGGAGAAGTTCTTGGCAAAGGTTGGGGAATCTCTCCAATCAGTCCTGAGAAATCAGAAATCTATCAAGTCTGCAACTTATGACATTTTCTTGCATATTTGACCAGGTGAAGAGTCCATTAGTAAGGGGGAGGTCACACAAGTTGTGTCTAGAAATAAAATTAGAGAAGTTCCTCATACTTCTGGTTGGGGCTCTACCATTGGAATGTTCCAAACTAAATCTGGTGACGTTGAAGTCTCCAGCTAAACACCACGAGATATCCTCCTCCTCATGCAGGGAATCCAATTCATCCCAAAATCTCTCTCTATCAGAGGGAGAGTTGGGGACATACACTCCGGTAAGAATCCATCTGAGCCCATCTTTAATATTTGTGAACAAAACCGAGATTGAGAATTCACCTTTATCAATCTCCAAACCTGAAATTTCGTCTTCCTTCCATGCTAGGATGATTCCACCAGCAGATCCCACCGCTGGAACAGCAGTCCATTTCCTACCCCTTATTCCCCAAATTATCTAGAACTAGGAGAAATCAGTGTAAGGAAATGATCTCCATAGCCCCAACCTTCTTATAAGGCATTGGGCCTTTGCCTTAAAAAATAAGCCCTAGCACAACTGACCAGCTAAACCATTGCAATTACATTCATCACCTTTGAAATTCCTCTAATTTACGCTGGAGAGATTATGAGATTTCCTTAAACCATTAGAGAAATGCTTTGTTTTCTAATGTGATGAGATGAAGAGAACTACTTGCACCCTTCAAGTGGTGTATGTTTCTCGTGTAAAAAATGCCAAAAGTTGTTGGTTAATGGCCTTCTTTGTCTCTTCATGTCTTCATGTAGAACATGCCAAGTATTTTGATATTGCCCTTTAAGGAGAACACGTACAACATTCCTTATTTCATCAAGGTAGTGATACAATCCCTAGTCCCTATCCCACTCTTTTACTCCATCTAATTGCATTTGTTGATCAACCATAAAGTATGTAAAGCACTCACTTTTAGCTATTGCCCTTTAAGGAGAGCCATCAACTCTGCTTTGGTGTGATGCCAATGGGGCCACTGGTTATCCTTGTTTTTGATAACCAGAACAATCTTGGAAGTCCATGGAACTGACATGGTTATAAACTTTTTTTGGTAGACAGTTATAAAATTATAACTTACTCTTGTTACACTTTTGGTACCAAGGGCATATACCAATCCAACCACCTTGAGTTTCCAGTTTGGTGGAATTTTGAACAAGTTGAGATGAACCTATGCCTAAATCTCCACCCATGATTGAGTTTGGGCAGAGGAATGCTGCAGCCAGGTCTCTCTCTGTAGCTTGTCAGAGAACCACAACAATGATTGCTCCTGTTCACTTTCTTTGTCCTTTCGTTTTTTTTTTAATGAGAAATAGACTAATTCAGGTTTCAACCTCTATCTATTCTCAGATTAATTTCTTTCTGTGTTAATGCATGTTATAAAATAAGGACAGAAACAGCCAACAATCCAAGCATCTCTTCCCTCTGTACCCAAGATTTAAGCACCTCATTCATACCTCCTTCTCTATCCCTTTCTACCAACTACCATATGAAAATCCATAGATATAACCACTTGACTTTCTTATCTCCTCTGCACTGTAAAATGATTTCTTGAATTTTTTATCAAGTGGCAGCGCACAGCAGTAGTCATGCAATTTGACCCAAATCTGGATCAAACCATTTTAAATATCCATTTTAACAGTAGGAAACTTGAAATTTAAGATTATTTGGTTTTGCAAAAATTGTTTTTCACCTTTTCCCCAGTATGTCAAGATGATACATTATGTAAATGAGGAATTCCATTTTTCGTCCTTCATTACTTCCTAGGTATGTTATCAGTTCTTAAACAGTAAATGCCTGATAAATTTCTGAAAACAGAGTAAAGCTGCTTTGTGGATGAAATGATTTAGTAATTGATGAAAAACATTACCTGCCAATAAAGAATTTCTTGAACAGAGGCAGAAGTAGGGATACCCTCAGGCCACATCGGTATTACAACATACACTGCAAATCTCTCCTTAGCTCTTATTTTACTAGCAATTTTCAACGCCAATTCCATTGGTATTAGATTATCAGCACCTAATTAAACCAGGAAACACTAATTTGAGAAATTTAAATAGAAGCAAGTATGAAACATATAAAAATAGGTGTGTGTTTATCAGAAAAGATAGAATAGGATTACAAACAATAAGAAAGACAAGATAAGGTTCAATAAGATATTGAGGCAAAATAATTAGCCATGTTAGCTTATACTCAAATGGAACTACAGGTATGTGGAAGTCAAAAATGAATATAAATCGTTGTAGAATCATGACTTGAATGAAGATAAAAGGCATGGCTTTTGAAAATAGTCATCTAATGGTTAACAAAATTTAGATACATGGAGAAACTATCATCATCAAGCCTTGTCCTAACTATATGGGGTCAGCTACATGAATCCTGTTTTACCATTCCATTCTGTTCAGTGTCATATCACCGTTAAATTATGAGTGATCAAGTCTTACCTATAATTTAATGAAGGGAGAGGCATAAAACATGCAGCAAAATAATATAAAATCTGCAAACATGCAACATGTGTTTTAGTTTAAGATACCTTCCACACAAAAAAAAAATACTCATTATTATAACCATAAAATTTTTTTAATTGCTAAGATGATGTGCTAAAAATTTATTATAATATGGGGTATTCAACTATTTGACGACTTCTTTGCATGTATTACTATGTAATATGCACCATTGTCTTTTCAATTGTCATTTCGTGCTTGTCCTAGTGCATTGTGGATATGACACCCAACAGAAGAAAATGGCAGAAACAGGATTCATGTAGTGATTCCATATAGGTGGGATGAGGCTTAGATGATGATCTGTATCTTCTCAGCAAAATGGAATATTTTCTTCAAGTGATGAAAGTGGTTTACTTCATAGAAAATGAACCATGCAATTCATACAGAGAAAAGTTGCTTCTAACCTGCACTCTTGTAAGATGGCCATCCGTAAGATGATCCAACAAAATACTGATTTTCGATATATATGAAGTGCTGGGCAGATCTTATTGCCTGGATATATGCAGTTTGAATGCTTTTCTCTATCACCAGATTTTTTTCACAGACAAGGTTCTGCAATAGCAAATATCGAAGTTAGACCTCAATAGAAAGTTTTTCCTTAATGAGCTTTTTCCCTACTTTCACTGAAAACTACTTGTTAAACTACCCTGAGAACCTTTTGTTTTGTGTTCCATTCACTAGTCCTATTCAATATGTAAATTTTGTGTTCCAATCAATAGGAGGGTTTTATAAATAGACCTGCTCATGAGCTTGATGAACATTTTTGGTAGGAAATCCTTTTAGTGACCCAGAATCAATAGATCGGAAAACCTGTCAAAGAAGAGAAACTCAACTAAGACTCATCAGAGAAAACCAATGAAAGTAAAAAAAAAAACAAGTACTTCCAGACTAGAAATTTGCACTATCCAACCTGAACATGCCAGGTTTCAGGATCATCTTCCCCAGAAACCCATAGGGTAGAATCATCAGGAGAAACAGATTGTGAATTAGGATCCCCACGTGGACTAAGAATCCATGATATCCGTTCTATCTTTATCAAAGAATCATCATGCCAATGAGAAACCCTTTTGAAACGCCGTCCAAATTCTGACCATTTTCTTGCTCTTCTCCAACGCTGCTCAAAGTTTTTAAGCACATCATATGCAACAGGGCCTTCAATTTTGCAGTGCAAATCATGCCATGGTTGCCTTGGAGCCTTGGTTCCTGCCTATTATACATACAACCAGAAAGCAAGTAATCTAGATGATTAAAAAACAAAAGCACATGATAATAACATCACCACATATCAAATAGATGCATTACAGAACCAGAATCTTAAAGAATAAACTGTTAACATACATTGACATGGGACTGATTTGGATGCAGACAAAGATACCCATGGGAGAATCCTGAGTTTTGGGGGAAGATTGATTGTAGATGGAGTTCTTATTGCTAATGAACTAATTGATTCATGGAAAAGAAGTGGAAGAGCTGAATTGCTGTGTAAGGTGGATATAGAGAAGGCTTATGACCATGTAAATTGGAATTTCTTGGATTATATATTAATGAGAATGAATTTTGGTGAGGCGGAGAAATTGGATAAAAGTCGGTATTTTATCTCCTTCTTTTTTGGTGTTTGTGGATGGAAGCTCTTATAGGCTATTTTGGAGTTCAAGGGGCTGAAGACAAGGGGACCCTTTATCCCCCTGTTTATTTGTGTGATTGAAGCTCTTTCCAAACTGGTTGAGAGAGCAAGTTTGGGAGGACTGATGGGAGATTTTTATTTTCCAAGAAGAAGAAGAAGAAAAAAAATGTGAGAGAGACTAAAAAGCATGCTAGCAGCGCCAGCTATTCTATTTATATATTATTAGGGAGACTGTACATAATATAAAAGAAAGAAAAAAAGACTAAAAATGCCCCTACAGTACATAGCTGGCATATTACATCACTCCCCCTCAAGTTGGGGCGTAGATGTCAATCATCCCCAATTTGTCACAAAGATCATAATGCCACAAGGAATTTAATCCTTTGGTAAAAACATCTGCAAGTTGTTCTTCAGTGCTGACATAAGGAGTGCAAGCTTCTCCCTGATAAAATGTTTATCTACCTCAATATGCTTGGTTATGTCATGGAGCACTGGATTAGCTGCAACATTGATGGCAGCCTTATTACCACAGTAGGGTGACATAGGACCATCAAGAGGAAAACCCAATTCTCCTACCAGATTTTTAATCCACAAGAGTTTAGCAACACCATGAGCCATGGTCCTGTACTCTACTGCACTAGATCTAGCAACCATACTCTGTTTCTTACTTCTCCAAGTCACAAGGTTTCCACCTACAAAGGTATAATAACCACTGGTGGATTTCTTGTTGTCCACTGAGCCAGCCCAATCAGCATCAGTATAAACTTCAACTTTCATATGTCCATGCTTCTTAAAGAAGAGGCCAGTCCCAGGAAATTTTTCAAGTACCTAAGAACTCTATTTGCTGCCTCAAGGTGTGCAATCTTGGGAGCATACATAATCTGAATGAGGACTCCCATGGAATATGCAATGTCGAGCCTAGTCATAGATAAGTAGAGGTACTGCTTTGCATCCTTTATGGGCTTATCATTGCAATCCCCTAGTTTGTGGTTCACATCAATAGGAGTGTTAGCTAGTTTGGCACCTAGTTTCTGTAGAGAACACTGATGTGGACCCCACGGCTGTGGTCCCCACTGTGTTCGTATGGCAGCACAGCATGTATTCTTTGTTAGTTATGTCAGTGTTAGTTGGTAGTTATTTCAGTTTGTTGTTACAGCTTGTTATTTCAACTTTATTATTAGTTTATTTGCCATGTAAGCAATAAGGGCAATTCAGCCTTTTTACAATTAGTAAACATATAAATATTAAGAGTGGGTTGGCAGATCATAACAA